TCCCCTTCACACATGCACGCTTTTATTCTTCTGGCTCTTCCTCCTTTCCCTTCCACATACAATGATTATCCCATCGTGACTCATCGGACAGAGCAGATTGCCAAGTTTCACTTAACAGTGCTTTTTCCCACTGTCCATTCTGTACTACCTGTGGAATCACCCTTTGCACCAAAAGCCATTGGCATAGTAGCAAGAGTGGCAGGAAAGGCAGACTTCGGACTAATACAAGGCAAGACTGTACACAACTCAAAACTACACTTGCCTTCCCAAGCTAATTCAATACAGTATGTTAGAGACGCAAAGGCACAGAGGATCACTTCAGCATCCAATGTACCAAGTTCTCTCCAGGAAAGCACTGGTTGGTAGCACCATCAGAGTTGGAAAACAAGCAATGAATGGACCAGCAATTGAAGAAAGGTGGTTTCTCAGGTGAGGGCAGAGCACTAAGGGAAATGGTGATCTATGGCAATGTATGCTATTCCTTGGTATACTGATAAATAATTCCAGTTTTGTCCTTTTCTATATGAAGCTACATAGGCATTGCAGACTCCCATATTCCTGAAATGAATATGTACATTTGATTTGGAATGAAAGGATTACAATTGGGGAAAAAAAAAAAAGTTTTCTTTTGTTTTCCCCACTCTTGTTGGTTTTGGAAGAATATTAAGAATTAATGCTTCCCACAAGAGAAAGACACTGGAGACATTTAAATCATTTACTATGTGGGGTTTTGTATTTTTGAAACCAATTTTAAATGGGAGATGAAGTTATCATCCAAAATGAGATCAGCAAAACAATCCTTTAAGGCATAAACATAAAGCAGCAGGAAGCTGGATAAAAAATATGCAGACACTGCATAATAAAATTGGTGGAATTGTGTGCCCTCTCACACAGCAGAGTAAAAGAGGAGAAGGTACATAAACAAAGATCAAACAGCTGGAGCCAGGCCCATGACTTATTGATGCAATGTATGAGGGTAAAGAATACTCATACATAGAGGACTAGGATGGCCATGCCACAGACTGCAAGGCCTGTAATTTTAGTAAGGGAATATTTCATAACGAAATGCAATGAGGAGAAGATGCATGCTGTGTCCTTTCTTAAAAAGGAGCATGCAAGACACCACTCAGCTCTGAGTTTGGGTATTTCATGTCCAGACTACAAGTCCCCCAAAGCGAAGGTAATATCAACACTGCAGTTGGTTTGCTGAGTTTATATTTACCTTGGATTCTTTTCTCTTTGATCTCTGGATGGTTATGCCCTTCCTGTCCCCTGTAATATCATGAAACATTAAATTTGTGTGACGTAAGTATAGCCATGGATGACAGGGGAAAACCACTCACAAAACTCTTCATTTGTATCTTAAGAGTGTTCACGAAGGAATTGGAACAAGCACCAAGTAAGGACTTACAAGAGAGGGAGGAGGGTTCTTTTCTACAGGGCTTGTAGGAAAAGGCACGGAGGCAGGAGGCTTGGCCCGATACGGTATAGTTACATAAAGTGCTGGCGGACCAGGAGATGCCAAGAAGACCATGTACTAGAAAGCGAAGGCAAACTTGGCAGCAAGGGCAAAGGGCAAACTCAAGCCTTGAAGTCATGGCCAGGAGTTTTTGATAGCATTCAGTGAAATGATGTCAACATTGCCCAGATCGACCAAAAAAGTTCTGCGTGGGGGTTTACAGTGCTCCACATCATTTCCATCACTGCCTTTCTGCAAGAGGCGATGGTGTGTCCCACTGACATGATGAACAGTGCAAACATTGCAACATGGTGACAAGATCTCACTCCCCACTCCATGCTATACAAGGCACTGGCATGCCATGTTCTGCAAGGTACAGCACTGCAGACCTAGTGGCTTTGCTCACCAAGCCATAAGCTCACCAGCTACTAATATTCAAAATGAGGTAAGGACTGGTCTACACTCTTCTATGTTTATAAAGGACTAAGAATTTTTCTGCAGGGATTTTTTTTTTTTTTTTTTTTTTGCCCAGCCTCAAATATCTCAAAATAGTTTTTGTTTAGTTCTCAAAATATTCCTGTAGGGACCTCTCCTGGGAGTTTAGGAAATAAATAGCTTATCCTGGGCAGACTATTTCCAGGATGTTTACTTGTGTAATCCATGTGATTGTAAAGTGCCTCCATTTCTCAAGCTCTCTTTCAGCTCCTTGAGGGCACACAATTTAAACTAGTGACTTATCCCATATACTGACAGCCTGTTATTCCTAATTTTTCAACTGGCAGCTCCAATTCTCTATTCATAGTGCAATTATTAATACGGCAAGAGAGGTTGGCTTGTGATTAGGTCTGAAATGCCTAAACTCACTGAAACTGCAAGTTCAAACCCTGTTGAGATCACCTCAGCCCGTCACCCTGTCGTGATCCTTAAGCTCTACAGCTTCAGGTCAGCTATGAAACTAGGTCTGCCTGGTCAGTCGACATCTTGCAGGTTTACAGGCCGTGTTTTGTGCTCTCTTAGAACTCTTTTTACATATGCTGCTGCTGCCCTTCACCAGGGACCAGATAGTCAATTCAGCAGCACTGTATGCAGACCAGCTTCAGGTCTCTGTTGATGAAGACCGTGGACCTCCACCTGAACCACACCATTTCGGACTGGTGTAGTCATCAACTAGGAGCTGGTATTTGGGCACTGCTTGCTTCAAGACAGAATGTTGTCATTTCCACAATCACAGAATCATAGAATCGTCAAGGTTGGAAGGGACCTCTAGAGATCATCTAGCCCAACCCCCCTGCACACACTGGGTAACCTGGAGCACGAGGCACAGGATTACATCCAAGCAGGTTTTGAATATCTCGAGAGAAGGAGACTCGACAAACTCTCTTGGCAACCCATTCCGGTACTCTGTCACAATCAGCTGTAAACACTCTGAAATTCATAATGTGGTAAAATAATTGTCAATTTATTCTGACTACTTTTGTTTCTTATAAGGAGAAATTTTTTCATGCCAGGTTTAGTATTTGCCTTCTCATTTTTTTGCTTAGGGTAAGAGAAGTGGCGAGAAAATAAAATCAGGATGGGAACAGATACATTATATCAACAACAGTCTTGGGACAGATAAATCCTCAATGTGCCATAAGCAACTACGTGAGGCCAATAAATCACTAGATATATTTCTGTGACTGAAAGAAGCAGCAAAGACTAAATAGCAATAAATGTAGCTTTTAGATACACTCGCTAACCTGTCTCTCTATGATTATTTCATTCTAGACTTAGTAGTCTGCTCCATTAGCAACACTCCTAGGGAAACTTCTACAAAAATGGTAATGGTGACATTTAAGGACTCTTTTCAGCAAAGGATGCTGGGAAACTACAAGGCTATAAGAATGGAAGTAACAGCTGAAGCCAAGTCACCTAAGATTTAGGGAACAAGTGAAGAACATCAGGACTATCTAGGAGGAGTGGTAAGGCTGTTGTGTTTTGTCAAAGCTGCTGCAAGATGCATTCTTCAGCTGTAGGCTTAATGTTCTTAAATGTTTACATTTTTTTCTTTTGCTTTAGACTTTTCACCTCCTTTATCTATAATAGTCTTACTGAAACAGCAGAGCTGAAAAACTTTGCTGTTCACATGCACATGTCTCTGCAACTCTGTAAGAGGTGTGAAAAGATAGAAGCATTTTATTTTTACCATCAGAAGCTCTGTCAGGAAATTTTCTTAAAAAGTTAACTTTAAAAACAGAAATAATTTTAATGGAAGACTTAGGCTTTTCATTAGTGAGTAAAGATGAGGCATTAAAACATCCAGTTGAGAAATGTTTTAGGTATAAATCAATAAAAAAGTTGCGAACCCTTCTTATACTCCTTCTCTCTAATATTATTCATACAAATGTACTGCCATTGTACTTAGTTATAATAATGACTAAGTGAAGTCAACCTGGCAAAACAGGGAGAGAGGAATCTGTTGAAGAAAATGCAGTGGCTCTGCTCTGGGTTGGAAGTGCTGTTTATAAGGCATTACACAAGCTATCTTGTGACTTCTCCTATTAAAGAATGGGAGAAGTAGAAGGAGGTTTCTTTTTCTTGTTTTTCTTTCTTCTCTCTTCCCCCTCCCATTCATGCCCTGAATATGCACAGGCTGTTTTGATGTACTGAAGAGCTTACAGGATCTTAATTATTTCATTTGCTCTGTGTTCTTTAGAAATTGAAAGTGGGTGTGAAACTCTGCTAAACCCATAGACCCTGAGCAGGTGCAAGACATTCCTGAGGCGTAGAGAATGGAGGTCTTTGATTTCAGCAAATGCTTCTCTGCTAAAGCCCTTTGATCTATGGGGTTTTGAATAAACTAACAAGTCACTACCTTCTTCATGAGCTTTAGGAGCTCAGTAATTATTAGCAATACTTAATCAGTCCTTTAATTAAAGACTTTTTTAACTATATCTATTAACTATATCTATATTACTGGATATATTAATCTTTTTCACTTGTAAAAAGTCAAGTTCCTTTTCTTTATTAACCTTAAGAGTAGTTAGCAGAATCCTTAACAAAAAAAAATCTTGCTGGTGTTGTAGATTCAGATTGAAACATGCAAAACAGCAGTGTTAGGATCAAGGTCAGGGACAGTATAAGAACAAAGTCAAGCAGCAATTAGGTAGTTTGTGACCCGTGTTTTACGAAAATAAATTTTTAGTAAGAAATTCTTGCCTGAAACCAGAACTTCCTCACCCATCTTTTCAGAGGACTTTCATTTTTCCTATCCTGTGCTAATCCCTTCTGCATGCAGCAGTTGGTTTTCTAGCCAGTGTTAGCAGCTGCAACCCAAAAAGCACATTACAGAAGGCTAGCAGAGGAGCAAGTGGTGGATGTGTGTGTGTCCTTGTCCTATATTGTTCAATTTTCAGCCGAAGAATATTGATTTATACAAACAATAAATTTCATGTAATGGTTTTTTTTTTTTTTTTTTTTTTTTTTTAATAGTTAGGTATCTTACACTTGCATCACTGTTCACAAAGTGAGAGATTCCAGTTTTCTCTTTTATCTTGTTAAGATAAAGAATCTGACTTGGAGATGTCAGAGGAAGAAGATTCCTTTCTAAATGTTAAAAGATCTCTGAAGAAGAGAATGGTGAAACATAGCACTCCAGTGGACTCAATAATCTCGAGAACTATGCCATCTCTTACAGACCTGACATATCAGTCAATCAGGGACCAAGATGCCACTAAGAGACTTTACGGATCCCCAATGCCAAAATTGGCTCCAAGCAAATCATTAGCGCGGGTATCATCAATACGTGTTGAAGCATACTTCCCTCAAGTTATGTCCCCAAAACGGCTTTCAGTAGTCTTTGACTCAGAAGAATCAAATGAAGAGATAAGCCAAAGTTCTTGGGCTTTATTTTCTAGCAGGAGACTTTCAACAGTGCTGGCCTCAGATGAATCTGCTGAAGATCCAAGCAAGAAGACTGTCCTAAATGTGGGAACAAATGCTCCCTCTGAGGCAACTGAGGAGGTTGCAGCAGCTCCCAAGAGTGCACTTTTATGGTTGGTTACTGGGATACCAGGGATAAAAGATCCCCCAATAGCAAAAACAAAAAAGAAGAGAATGGATAAAGCTCTTGTGGTAATTATGTTCCTGTTGTTATGAAATTTCTAAACTACTTCCTACAATGTTGAATATATCCAGATCTTCCTAGTAGTATGGGCATGTCTAAAAAAGCATGTCCTACAATTTTAGCACTGAGTTTCCACAGAGCACGAATGTATGACTCGGGACATAAGTGGCGGGACTGTGTGCTATCAGTTCTAAGCACAGCCTGAGTGGGAAGCAATTTTAAAAGCAGTATCTGCTTCACCTTGTGAGCTTTCATGATCAGTTATGTACACTGGTGGGGGGGAAAAAAGATATATTTTTTAACAGAAGCTTAAGAATGTGAAGAATTAATGTTTTAGCTTTAATAAACTTGAGAAGTTTTTCATACTAGCAATTAAAAATGGAGAAACAAAGGATCTACATTCTTGTACAATTTCTTTGGCATCACAATTGCTGTGTTGTTGCAAATGATATGCAGATCTTAGGTCAGTGTAACATTTTCTGGGGAAGGCTTATTTTAGTAGACTTTATAGGACCTTTATGTTTCTCTCTCTCTCTTTTTTTTTTTCTTTTTTTTTTTTTTTTTGGCATGAGTTCTCAAATTTCTACAGCTTCAGGTATTGCCAAGGACCCATAGATAGGGGAAAGAGGACAAAATTATATTCTAAAGCTGTAATATCAGTGTGAAGCCATTAAAATCTGTTGCTATTTCAGTGTAGTTATATTGCTTTGTCTGGGTATGTGTTGGGGGGAGCCTAGAAACTCATAGGAAAACCTACCTGCTCTGCTAGTAAACACTTCTTATCTTAAAATAAATTGGAATCTTCATCCCAAGTCTAATTGGATTTATTCCTAATGTTTTTGTTGCATTTATTTTATTGTTTTGGTTTCAACATGTGATATCTGAGTGGATTAGGTTGGCTAAACAATATTTTCTTCTCCATAACAGAAGAAGAAGCAAAGAGAATGGGAGCTCCGCCAATTTAAAAATATTGAGGAAGCAATTGAACATGAACTTACAATTGAAGAAGCTTGATTGAATTATCCTTGGAATGAATGTTACCACATCCTTCTGGTGGGAATGGTTGGTTCCAATAAAACACATACCTGACTAGATGATAGTGTTTGTTAGATTTTCTCTTTTTTTTTTTTTTAAAAAAAAAAGTGCTGGGGTTTTTTTTTTTTTTTTTTTTTTTTTTTTTTCTCCTTTCCTCCTCCCCTCCTCCTTCTTGGTGTTCCATGATTCTGTTTTGTCTCCTAAAACTAGGAAGTGTCAGGTAAAAACTGACGAATACCTTCCCAAGGCGGGCAATGTTAATCTACAACAGCTGAAGGCCTGGCATGAGAAAGTGAAGGGGGAATATGGTGCAAGAATGGCTCTGGCTCTTGCCAAAGCTCTTGCTAAGCACCTTCTTTCATACAGTACTTACATCTTCTAGGATTGCCAATGTTCTTCAAATAGGGAAGGCTGCTGTCCTAGTGGCTGTGGCAGATATAATGCTTGTTAGTCAACAGAGAATCTCCTCGTCTAGAGAGTAATCAAAACTGATGCAATCAGGAATGTTTTTGCTGCTAGCAGGTGAGATGAGGAAACAGTGAGAGGCACCAAGGAGGGAGGACAGCCTCTGGAGATTACTAATTAATAACAGTTTGTTTGGAAGGGTTGATTCTAAATGAATCTGCTCCAGCCCTGAACTGCATGTGCACTACACTGTCACCCGTGCTCTTACTCCGTGCTCTTCTGTGTCTTTCAAAGAGCTCTTCATTTTCTCTTTCTTGTTTGAGCTGCAGCATGGGATAGAAGTGAGGGAGGGCTTCCTGATGTCCACATTAGCAAAATCGGTATTTAGCTCTTGGCAGCAGTCTGCTGTGAAGCACCAGGTGAGAAGTAAGACAAAAAGCATAGCACTGATATTAGTTCCTATTGCTGCCTGTTACTTAAGGTAGAGCTTAGAGCTTCAAAGTGACTTAAGGGACATCAGGACCAGGGACCTAGGGTAGATCTGATGGCAGTGTATCTGCACACACCAATACCTGCACTATGCAGCCTATATTTTTGCACCAGGCTCTGCTAAGGTCACGGTCTGTTCAAGCGAAGCTACAAATAAGGAAAAGGAAAATCACTGCATTTCCGTGAAACTTTTAATGTCTTTTGCCCAAGATGGCAGCGAAGCCCAAAGATGACCCACACCAATGTTTAAAGACAAGCTGACCAATAAAGAGTTGTGTTGTTGTGTTCTAAAACCCATGTACAAGGTGGGGTTGTGGCTTTATTACCTCTCCCAGGATTTAAGAGGCATTAGGATGTTTTCACTAAAAAAATCCTGAAATGAAACTCTCCTTGGTTTCTCAAGAGAGCATCCTCAGCTTTCTGTGATAGCCTGGCAACAGGGGGTTGCTGCCCTCAGGTCGCTAACCAAGGCATACTTGCTTGGCTTGAAGTTTAGTTAATGTTCTGGTATTTGTTTGTATGCATTGCCCTGGCTGCTTGCCTGGAATCCTCAGGTTCCTCTGGCAACCCGGGAGCTCCTGGCTAATGTAGATCCCAAGATGCTCTTGAGATAAAATAGGAATGATTGCAGATGTGCTGCTATTCCCCTGAGTTTGCTGGAGTTTCATCAGCAGCACTGATTTGTGCCAGAGGCTGAACTAAGATCAGGCAACTACAAGGTTAGCATAAAGCCCTCCTCTACCCCTCGGACAAGCACAGATTAGCCTGGCTGCATGACCCAACACTTAATCCAAATGACCCAGTCTGTCTCCTGTTTATATGTACCAATTCCAAATACCAAGTTCCACTTGTTCCTTCTTCAGGCTTTCCATCCTGGTCTCAGAAAGTCCTCGTCTTCTGCCACTTCTTTCCCTATTTGTCTTTTATGCCCAGTCTTCCCAACCAGATTCCTTGACAAATTTCAGAGCCTCCCCCTCGAACATTTGACGTCAGTCTTCCAGCAATACTCTTAATTTCCTTCGTCAGACCTTGAAGTTCCTTTGTGTACTTAGGCTGACCCCTCTACCCTTGGTGCTAGGCAAGCAGAAAGGCTGTGTCTGTTTACAGCATGACACAGCTCCTAGCAAGCCAGACATGTAATTTCTGGGAATGTCCTGCTCAGGGGTCTACGCTGCTAGGTCAAATGAAGGAGAAATCCAGGGAATATAGCTATTAATATCTAGAAAGTGATTAGGTTTGTGGCAATCACAATGCAAAACCTCCTGAGATTTAGAGCAGGGTAAACCCTGGGAGAGTTTGACAGGGAACAAAAAGCCTGCCTCCCTGCCAAATTTCTGGAGCCAGTTGGTGCCAGCAAAGTCCCAAAGGATTTCCTCAGCAGAGAGAAACTAATTGCTTGGAGTATTAAAACAGATTTGACTTTGACTGGGTCTTTGTAAGTCCTGAAGCTGTATTAGGCAGGCGAATGCACAGAACTTATGGCTTTCAAGATTTCAGAAAACCCTTCTTTGCAGAATGTTTTAAAAGAAATGCAAAAATATTTTGTAGCATCTCTCTCACAGTAATTCAGATCCTCATGACTTTGAAAAAGTCACACTAATGCTCTTCTATGATTTATAGGAAAATATGAGGAGACTTAGCTGGCTTTCCAGGGCACTGCTGAAATGTGACTGATACGCTGTCTACAGCAACAACATTATTATTGGTTATTTGTAGGACTAGGTGACTTCAATGAGATCCATACAGTGCTAAGCCACACGTTATCCCCTAGTCCATGATTATGTAGATGCCCTCAAAAAAAAAATGCCTCTAATTTTTAATTGCCAGGATGTCAGGGAATATGAAACTGACATAACTGCTGTTATGCTTCACGTGTTGCTATATCTACACGTGGGGGGAAGAATTTTTTTTTCTACAGGGTTTGCACTTTCCTTGCTTTCTCTAGTTGACTTTCAAATGACACATTTTCTGTTGCAATATACACATATGAAAAAATATGCTTAGAGAGAGTCACTAGTAACATCCAGTTCCAATGGTGTATACTGTTCATCCTCTAGTGGCAGCAACCATGAATTACTATTTGGATAGCAACTCTCTCCATATGCATTTACTTTATGCATACTTGCATTCAATGCAAGTATTACATTGCATACACTGCAATATCACCTGAGTGTAAAAAACAAAACAAAATAAAAAAAAAAACCCTTAATGTTAATTGGAACTAGACTCCCAAAGAATGAAGTACTTTTTGCATTAGCGAGCCCAGATACAAACTGCAGCTGAAGTTGGAAAAGATCATATAGACACTAGATGCTTATCAGAACTTAGCCCCCAGGACATCACATTTTTAAAAAAACATAAGCACATAAAAAGTCCATTTTCTGCATGGGCACATGTGAAGCAAGAATTACAACAGGTTCTTCAGCTTTGCTCTTTCGAATGTAACACAGAACATGTTTGTACATTCAGAACAGCCTTCCCACCAAGAGTCCACTTTTAGGACAGTATTTTTCCTTTAGAAGCTAAGCTATGACCTTGACCCCAGGAATTGTTTTTAGTACATTTGTTACTGAATGGATATTACACAATCTACCGGCTGATGGTGACTAAGCATGATATTGGATGGAGAAGAACAAAAAAACAGTACCAAGAACAGGGAAGAGACAGATATGTCTTCACCCTTGATTTATGAGCTCAGATTTGATCCCACTAAAGGAAATGGTAACACTACTGTTGACACAGTTAGGCACTCTCTGTCCATCTGGGTGACTACTATAGGTGATTCAGCTGAACCAATTGTAGTTGAACAACAGAAAAACAGGATAACAGAGAAAAGTGGAAAAAAATCAACACTCTTAAACAAAAACAGATTTTGTTCACCCCCTGCAAATCACAACATAATTTCATTTCTTCTATAGACAAAGGCCTGAATAATAAACAACTCAGCGGTTTCCATGCTTGGTGCAGTTTGTTCTACAAGATACAAAAGTACAAGGGTCTCTCTTAGCTCCAGCTGCAGCTCCTGTTACCAACGCCTATTAAAACTGCTTGCTCCTCAACATTTCTGATTCTAGAAATGTAGAAATGTAGAAATGTAGAAAGAAAGAAAGAAAGAAAGAAAGAAGGAAAGGAGGAAAGGAAGAAAGAAGGAAAGAAGGAAAGAGGAAAAGGAAAAGAGGAAGGAAGGAAGGAAGGAAGGAAGGAAGGAAGGAAGGAAGGAAGGAAGGAAGGAAGGAAGGAAGGAAGGAAGGAAGGAAGGAAGGAAGGAAGGAAGGAAGGAAAAGATTCTTCAGCTCTATTGCTCACCTGTTTTATTACTATATGGGTGCTTAAATAGCCTAGAAAATTAAATGGGAAATAGGAGACTTCATTCCAAATCTCCTTTTCCTGTGAAATAGGACCTTGAAAGCAAGTCTGTACCACAGGACAGAAATTGCTATGTCTAGACTTTTTTTTTTTTTTTTCAGTCAGAGCTTTTCAGTGTCCACTTGTCAGAGCTGCTCTACTTTGCCCAGTTCATTAGAAAAGAAGCTTGAACTTGCATTGTAGTTCAGTGACTCACCATCTCGCATTGTGATATTTTGTTTCTTAGATTGCGTAAAATTCATATTTACTGAAGAAATGGAAAAGGAGGGGTTATCCTTCATTACTCTCGGGGGAGAAAAAGTAGTGAAATCTTGTCTTTTATACTCCTTACCTTTGCCACCATTTTGGTCACTTCTGTTGCCTTCCATGTCCTCATTTTAGCCTTTCTAAGTTCAACATGGCCTCTTCTAACTGGCTTCTGCTTTCAGCTCTTCATCTTATTGTAGACTTATCTTGTGTAAGAACCTTCTACTTATTCTAAGAATATCAATTTGATACCAATAATGAAGGTGAAAAAGAAATACTGCATTACTTTAGCACAGGAAAACAAATGGGTTCCTATTCTTGGAAGCAGAATAAACCAACTTTCTAAATATGAAAAGATAATGTTTTTTTTTCGGATAAAGGTAAGAAAGAATGAGCAGGACTGCTGGCAAAATTATTGGGAGATGAAAAGAGGTCAGGTTAATAGTTTGCAAAATGTCTAGGAAAAGAGGCTTCAAAGTACACTTCCTGGCTGAGAGAGCACTGAGCAATTAATGGAATCATAAAATATTATATCAAACCATTGACCAACAAGGATGTACATAGAAAAAAGACTGGTGCTTTAGCACTTTTTGCTAAAAGGGGGCAGGTGAGCTGTTCTGGTTTCTCACAAGGATGCGTTGCATATGATGAGTCTGGAGCACTGTCTTTCACTGGTTACCTTTGATGCCAAGGAAGTTGTGAAATCAGAGGGGAAAAGTAGAATGCTACATTCTCAAATGAAAATATAGAAAAATGCATCAAAAAGAAGGTTTTGTGTGTGGGGGAAGGTGTTTTGTAAACAAACATGTCCTGGTGATTGTGTGACCAATTGTAACAAAAACAGCAACAAAAACAACAA